GAAGGTATCTAGAATTCACATAATTAACAAACTTCTACAGACACTCCATACATTTTTCTGGGATACCGATAAAAGATAGTAGATAGAATATTTAATAATTGCCTTGAAACATATGATACTCCAAAGCTACATAATATAAACAGTAGCTCTGTTTAACGTGCCTTTTAAGTAAACATGAACTTCATACTCCAGTATGAGTATTTTAGAGAATGACTTCTACAATTAGATGAAGGTTACTCAAAAATAATTTGCTGCAGGTATTCTTTCAAATCTTTTTTTTTTTTCCCTTCTTAAGAAAGAAAGAAAGAAAGAAACAAACAAACCTGAAGTGTACTGGCAGAATATCCTTTCCAAAACATAAATAAAACTCAAATAATGCTAGTAATAGATAATAAAACAGAAAGGAAGCAAGGTGCTTGAGATGCATCTTAAAAATTTAAATATTAACACCAATTTTAAACAGAATAAATATGAATGGGAGTTGTATTTATAATTTATTTTACAACCTTTACACTGTACTGTTGTTAACTGTAGGAGACTCAAGTACTAAATGGAGATAACCTGAGGTTTTGCTAAGACTATAAACAAACAGCACAAAGAGTCCTTTCTCTGCAAAGGAGAACATAATAATAGCAACTGGGAGAAGGCAGCATTTAAGTTTAACACCCAGCCTCAACTGGTCAGGATGTCTGTCAGGAAACTAGTTGATAAAGCTTTTTATATAATGCTATATTTCCTAGAGAACTCTGAAAATATGAAACTGAACAGAATATACAACCATAGTCCAATTCAATTTATTCTACCATATTTAGATCATACTGTTTTCTTACAGCATATAGCAAAATTCAGTTGAACAGTTCTGACAATATTCACTTTTTCATAGTACCTTGTTATGTACAATTCCATCATCAGTTTCTCCTCCCCAGTTCTGCCCATCGTCAAATGAAGATGGATTTTCCCTCATGGCAGCATACAACTGAAAGGCACAAGTGTACATACATAGAACAAGCATGAAGACCTCCATTCATCCTGCTGGTCAAGATTCTCAGCACAGTATATGGTTGGCCTTTTGGGCTGAAAGCGCACGTTGCCAACTTGTTTTGAATCTTTCATCAATCAGTAACTCCAAATTCTTCTCCTCAGGGCTGCTCTCAAGCTATTTTCTACTCAACCTGCATCTGTGCTTGGGATTGGCCCAGCCCAGGTGCAAGATCTTGCACTTGGCCTTGTTGAACTTCATGAGACTGGCATGGGCCCATCTCAAGCCTATCCAGGTCCCCCTGAATGGCATCCCATCCTTCTAGTGTGTCAACAGCACCACTCAGCTTTTTTCCTCTTACAGAAATTTATCCAGTAAAAAAATAATAATAATAATGCCATAATATAACATTAAAAAAATCAATTTAAATTCACTAAAAACATGAGCAAGCTAGCTAGCTCCCAAGAGGCAAGTAAGAATACCTACCTTTTCCTTCACATATAAAATAAAGGAAACTGTAAAAACACTATTAAGACACCTGCAATTAAAATTCCAGTTTGAAATGTGGAAATATTTGGTTTAAAGAACTCAGATGCTACCTTGAAACAGTCAGTTAACCAAATCAAAGCTGCCACAATCTGAGGCCAGGTGTGTGGTGCTCCCACTGTGTACATGGAGCTTTTTGACAAAGGAAAAGGGTACCTACAAGAGAAAACATTTTTAAATGCGGTGCAGAATGAGCAAGTTTTTACCTTAAGATCAAGCCACACAAGGAAGAACAAATTCAATTGTGCTTTACACTGTATGTTGAGAGAAGAAAAGAGGAGTTCTCATACCACAGGACTTTATTACATTATCATGGGTTTCCCATTATGTAATTCACGAAACTGGATTTTTTTTTTTTTTTTTTTTTTTTTGCATACGCAGAGATTAGGAATAATTAAGGCCTCTTACAAAAAAGCATGTTTTTTTTCAGTCAAATCTGAATAAAGAAGACAGACCTTTCTCCCTGGTTTTCATACAGAATCCTTAGATTTGTCATTTCTGGCTTTACTGCAGCTGTTCAGCACAATATATAAATAAGGATCTTACCCAAGCTCTTTGAAAACTCGGGGAATTTCCTCTTCGAATTTTGAGTCAGGCAGTTCATAAGAAGGGCAGAGAAAACCATAGATAAAAGTGAAGATTTTTACAAAGTCTTTTACGGATGGAGACTGCAGTGATTTTACGGTGACATTATGTGCGTAACCATTCTCAACAAGGAACTGGGGAAGAAAAATATACATATTAAATGGTGTGCTAGTCAACAAAATCTATAGTTGAAACCATCAGAAAACCAAATATTTTGAGTGGTACTTTTAATGCCTAATGCGCAATTTCATAAAATAAGTTAATGAGTTACCTCACAAAGCTGTTTGATACACTGCTGGATGAATGCCTTGTCATGAAGTGGCCTGGGATCCTTGATCTTTTCTGTACCAAACATACCATACTGACTGTTGCGTGAACCTCCAGCCCCACTAGTTCTAGGAACAAGAAATAAATACATTTTTTGTGTCAATACACAAATACAGAGTTCTTGGTTATATACAGATCCTTACATTTGCTGGTTTTATATATTTTTTGCATATGTCATGCAAAGGGCTAAACTGAAGGCAATCCTCTAAGTAGAAAGATTAAAGAACAACATCCAGCCATAGAAGTCATGATGCCCACATAAAACAGAGGGATTACTACATCACAGGTGATTATTTTCTTCAGTTTATTGAAATAAAGTTTCACAGAGCAGAAAAAAAAAAAAAAAAAGATAAGCCAAAGGTGAAGAAACAAACAATGTAAGTTGTTGAAACTGAGGATTAAAATACTCAAGGAACATTTAGAAGAAAAGCAGAACTCTGAATGAAATGAAAGAAGCTACCTGCAGACATTAAAACAGAAAACTGTCAACTAAGATGATATGATTTTGTAAGGTTTTCATTGTACAGGGAAAAAGAAACTAAGGCAGAGAGTAACGCTGATTTGATTCCAATTTCACAAGATTACTACCTGATTCAAGATTAAGCTAGCATTTTTTTTTTTTTTTTTTTTCTCATTTTTTTTCCTCTGAATTGAAAAGACAAAATAGAGGTAGGAAGTCAGACTAGCATTGTTAGAAAGCTTTATCAATATCTGCTAATGCAAACATCTCCCAGGTCTGTACTGAGGGGGACATTCTTCCTTAAACAGGCCAATGTCTTGGGCAGCTCTTAAGCGTTGCAGTGCATGTTTCTCCTCTTGCATTCCCAAGAGGAAGAACAACTATTTAAGCAGATCCTGCTCCACAGCATTGTTATTTAGTGACTAGAGTGTAGGAAGGCAGACCTAAACGCCTAAGGGCCTCAGATCCATTTTTCCCCATAATGAAAATGTAGCAAGAAAGTAAAACTGTAAAATGCTATGAGATTGTTTTAATTTACAGCACATTGATCTGAAGCTATCAATACCTCTTCCCAAAAAAGCTGACTTTCCTTTCTGAAGTTGCAGACGTAGTTTTGCTCATGCTCAGCTTTCCAAACGTTCCTCTGTCCTTCCTGAGAGATAGGGAGAAGGATTCAAATGACTATTTCTACCATTTCATCTTTTGCTTACATAAGAAAGGTATAAACACATTAATTAAAGTCTAACCAGCTTCAGGACAGCAGTATCTTAGAAGCATCAGCTGATTTTAATGCATTATTTATCCACTAGTAAGGCTATTTCCGCCAGTTTTATTAGTGTACATTTTACACACCAAGTACCCAGCCACCCCCCAACCACCTAGCAAATATGCAAGAAAAAAACATTATAATGTGAGATGTGTCACAGGCACATAAGTGAAGTTTTAGATTTCATAGAATCATATCATAGGGTTGAAAAGGACTGGGTTGAAAAGGGCAACGATCATCTGGTTTCAACCCCCTGCTGTGTGCAGGGTTGCCAACCACCAGACCAGATTACCCAGAGCCACAACCAGCCTGGATTTTAAATTATATGCTGACCATACTGCATAAACACATAGATGACAGCAGATTGGTCATTTAAAGGCCTTTAAAAAAGAAAAAAAAAAAAAAAAAAGACAAAAGCAAACAAACAAACCCCAAGTCAACTAACAACAACAACATAGTATTTTTGAGAACTATAGAGTTTTAAACTCATATTCACTCAACCAATAAGTTAAGCTAGAGATTTTTGGTGGTTTTTTTAAATTAATTATCTTTATATTTTGCACAGAACGTGAGCACTTGTGCAGAAGTCTTTGGCTGCAGAGGGTTTTCTTCTTACTGCTCCCATCTTTTTCAGATGCTACTCGCTGCAGTAAAGCCACCGAGGCTGAGGTCTGCACACGCTGTTAGCGACATGACCATCGCCACTTACATTTGAGGCGTCTGAAGACCCATCTTGTTGCTGTCCTGCACTCTCAGCACCATCGTAGACTGCCGACCGCTACTCCCGCAAGTGGTTGAGCTTCGCCTCATTGCGACCGAGCTGTAAATCGGAGTCTGCCGGTATTAGGAAATCCAGGCTCTGAGAATATTTGTGTTTGCGAAATACGCGATGACTTTCTGAGGGGTGAAAAGACACAAGTCGTACATCAGACCAACGATCACGCGACAGAAGAGACAGAGCAACCAGCGAAGAGGAAGGCCGCGCTGGCGAAGCGCCCGGCAGGTCTCCCTTCGATCCCTTTCTCTACCACTACCTGCGAGCCTGTTTATCAGCTGCGCCTGCAGCCGCCTCACCGTCCCAGGGGAACCGCAGCCGTCCGTTGCCGTGAGCGGCGCCGAACCCTTCCTCCTGATTTCAAATCCGCCCGCCCGTTACGTCACGCGCGGCGCCGCAAGAGTGCGACGTCACAGCGGAGAGACGGCAGCCGAGGGATGTGGGAGTTGGGGGCGTCGCCGCTTCTGCCCGCTCAGCCTGTCGCGCTCTGCCTGGCCTGCTGCCGTACAACAAAGATGGCGGCGCTCGCTGGTGGCTGAGCGGCGTCGGTGAGTGAAAGAGCGAGAGAGTCTCTGCGCTGCGGAGCGCAGGGGGATCTGCGCCGTGCGGAGCGAGAGATCCGCGGTCTCGGGGCTTTGCAGAGGGTTCCTGAGGTCGAGCGTGGGAAGAGAGCGGCCCGCAAGGAGTGCTTCATCGTGCTAGGCTGTTCCCTGCCTGCAACGGGTTTCTCTCCTGTTAGTGAGCGCCCAGAGGAGGGCAGTAAGGGTGACGAGCGGCTGAGCTCCCTGGGTTCGTTCAGTTCGTTCAGCTGACGGGAGGCCTGATGGTGACTGCAGCTCCTCACAGGGAGCAGAGGGGCAGCGCCGAGCGCTGCTCTGTGTGACAGCGACAGGGCCCGAGGGAACGGCATGGAACTGCGTCAGAAGAGGGCAGCGGGGGGTTAAGGACAGATGCTGCACCACGGGGCGGTGGGCATGGCCCCGAGTTTCTGAAATTCAAGGAGCGTTCGGACAATGCTTTCAGACACAAGTTTTGAATTCTTGTGTGATCCTATATGGAGCTGGGCATAGGACTCAATGATCCTTGTGGGTGTCTTCCAACTCAAGATATTCTATCATCTTACGTGGCTGGAAGACGATAAGGCTCTAAAATAGAATGGCTCGAGTTGGAAGAAATTTTAAAGCCCACCCTGGCCTTGAGCACCTCCAGGGATGGGGCACCATAGCTTCTCTGCACAGCCTGCTCTAGTCTGATGCATCACTGTCCTCTGAATGAAGAATTCCTCCTAACATCTAACCTAAATCTCCTCTCCTTTAGTTTAAAACATTCCCCCTTGCCCTATCACTAGTAGACTGTGTAAAAAGTCCATTGCTCTCCTGTTTATAACCTGCCTTCAAGTACTGTGAGGCTACAATGAGGTCTCCCTGGAGACTTCTCCAAGCTGAATAAGCCCAATTTCCTCAACCTTTCTACATTAGAGAGCTGCTCCAACCCCTTGATGATCTTTGTGGTCCTCCTCTGACCTGCTCCAACAGCTCAACATCCTTCTTGTGCTGGGGGCCTGGACTTTGACACAGTACTCCAGGCAGAGTAGAGGAGGACAATCCCTTCCCCCTCCCTGCTTGCCACCTCTCTTTTGATGCAGCCCAGGACACAGTTGGCCTTCTGGGCTGCAAGAACATGCTGCTGGCTCACATCCATCTTTTTATCCACCAGGGCTCTCAAGTCCACCTCTGCAGGGCTGCTCTCAGTGAATTCTTTTCCCAGTCTGTACACATACCTGGGATTGCCCCAATGCAAATCTGGGATTGCCACGTCTCAGTTTACTTCACAGAAGGCCAGATTGCTCAATTTATTTTCTGTGACAAACTAGGATGTGATCGAGAAATACATGATAATGTGATGGCTTCCTTCAGAAGTGCATGAAGGCTGCTTATGTTTTTGCTACTGAATCCTGAGTTATGGAGTGTTACAGTATATAATTGCTAACTTTTAAAAAGAGGGTTCTTAGAACAAGTAATTCTGTGCAACATGATCTTATATAGAAAACTAACTAAAAAAAATAAATGAGCAAACAAACAAACAAAAAAAGCCAACAAACCTACCATAAAAAACTGAGTTAAGTTTCAGTGGTCCTAATAGTGAAACCAGTGTAAGCCAAGAATTTTCTGTGGTGTATCCATGGGCACAGGGAAATGTCTGTCACAGAACGGTGTTACTTTATGAAACAGTAGTGAGAAGTAATTCTTAAATAAGTATGTTACTCCCACAGGGGTAATTTGCTTCAGGAAGCCTATGTTATTACCTGCTATAGTTTCTGGGAGTTGATTTTTCTCCCTGAAGAGGGGACCTGTGATGTCTGTGGTACATCGGCTGACAGCAGGGTGGCTCCTGGACCATCTGTCTTTCATCAACCAGTGTGGCTATGAGATCTGTGATTCCTTTGCATACACTGGTGATGTCACTGCCAGTACTTCTGTCAGTTCTACTAACGATCATCCTACTTCTACATTTGCTACCACCTCTTCAAGTGATGGTCCCAGTGATGCTGTAGAAACAGAAGGTAAAACAGCAAGAACAAGATATGTATTTCGGGAAGAGTTCTTTCACATTTCCAAGGCCCATATAGCTGCAGCTCCTGAGGAACAGCTGTTGCAGGGAAGCCTTGAGTTGAGTTTCGCAGAAATGAAGGCCAGCAGCAGAGCAGAAGAACACCAAGAAGGAACCAAGTGTGGCGTCAAGGATTCTGTTGCTGTTGCTAAGAAGGTATGTTCTCCACAGTGTAGTAGCCTATGGTCATCCTTAGGTAAATAACCTGCCATTAACACTATTTCTGCTTTCTGAAGTCACATAGGAGAGCGGGTTTTCCACAAGAGATTTCAAAATGCATGGAAAATGTAAGCACTCATAATGTTATTCTGGAGTTTCTTCTGTCAGCAACTTGCATCCTATGACTCAAAAACAATTGGTTTCTTGTGAAATCTTTTGGTGGCATTGGGTTTGAGTTAAACTGTGATAATCTGTGGTTGTCCAGATTAACATGGAAAGAACAGTTTAAGTTTACTTTCAATATATAGACCATACAGTACTGTTTGTTACAGTCCTAAAACAAACAACTGGAAAATGTTACAGGTCTAAACTAACAAATCTAACCTTTGAAGACCTACTTGTTTTTCTCCTGTTACTGCACTTGGTGGCTGAACAAACACCTTCTAGAATAGACCTAAAGGAGGCCTGAATGTGAACGGAGGCACATGCTAGGTAATGTTAGATCCCTGTGCTATGAATAATAATAATACATAGCTATACATATACATACATGCTATAGCTATAGCTATACATATACATAAATGAATAATAATATAACATAGCTTTGCCACACCATCTTCAGCAGCCTAAGTATTTTGTGATCGTATTTTTGCTTACTGGCTTTATACTTGTAATAGAAAGGAATAGATAGGAAGTTTCTTCCAGTTTTAAAAGAGTTTATTTGTAATTTGGGTATGTGTGAGTATTTATTTTTTTGTTTTCATTATGGAGTAATGTTTCCCTTTTTTTTTTGTTCTTACCCTGTTTGCTCCTTCTATAGAAGCGTAAAAGAAAATGTGTGTTCAACCAAGGTGAACTGGATGCTTTAGAATACCATACCAAGGTAAGTTTGAATAGAAGATAATTTTGCAAGTATGTGATGTTTAATTTTGATCTATGTATGGAGTACAAAACACAGCTGTAAATAAGTTCTCTTCTTGTAGCTTGCTCCACTATTCCTGTTAAGACTATGCTTAAAGAAATATTTTTTCTTTCTTCACACAATAATGATTTTGTAGTAAATGTTCAGTTTGTTATGTTGCAGTGTAGGGGTCCCATAGGTATTGTTCTGAATAAGCTATGGAGTGAAGCAATGACTTCAATGAGAGAACTTTGAAGTTCAACATCAAACACGGGTTTATGAGTGAAAATATTTAAGTTAATACACTATTCAGATATCTCAAGGATTGTGCTACTACAGAAAAGAACACATTCAGGGTTTTTTGGTATTTTGTAAGAGAGTGTTTAAAAACAACCAACAAACAGACATCTTGTTGAGCATTCCTTTTTCAGGAGCTTTAGAAACAATAATAAGTATTTGAAACCTGTGTTAGAAACTACAGAATCTGGCAATAAAGCTGTTCTAAATGAGCAAAAATTCACTGATAGGTAAACCTCATAAATGCTCAGCAATTTGAGAATTAGGTAGGTCTCTGTGTTCTGTATAGGGAATGTTGCTGAAGAAGTGAGTGTGCGTACAGATCCAAGAATCTTGGCATTATTATTTGCGAAACGTGTTATTTTAAAAAATTGCAGAACCAGTTTTTAGTAATGTAATTTGGTTTACATGCATACATGATACTGACTTTGAAAGCAAATTAAAACATACTGGTTTTAGATCTGGGTATATACTCAATCAAAGTTATACTTGTGGACTAAGTTAAACTTCAAGTTAACTGTTGACATTGCCTTGAAATTTGTTTGTTTAGATCAGTAATATTCTGCCACTATCATCTGTGAAAGCTTTCATTCTGCAGTCTGCCTTTCTCTAGACTTCTGACTATTGCCACTTTGCCAAAAGAAAACAGACAAAAAAACCCCCACCATACGTTAGCATGCCATCAGTATTATGCACAAATAGCTCTTCAGGTGATGGTTGTGGTGTTTGGCAAGGATTTTTCTCCCACTGCAGGTTGAAGATGTTTTGATTTCTGTTTCATTTCCTGATGTTACTATGCGTATACTCAAAAGATTATTTCTCTCTCTTTTTGTCTTGTTTTGTTTTTCTTCTCCTCTTTATGATCACAGATCAGAAAATTCATTTGGGAAGGCACTTTGCATTTAGTCCAAGAGGGACTCAAAAGTGGTTTTCTTCATCGTGCTGCTGCAGCACCCAGTTGTGGGAAGAATGTTGTTCCTGGACACGTTGACTGTGGGTTGGCTGAATTATGTGAAATGGCAAAGCAATTTCCAGCTGTAAATGATGGTGATCATCAAGCTGTGAATGTGCTAGATGATGAAACCACCACTCCAGAGCACGACCTGCTTTCATGTGTTACAGAGAACAACTCAAACTGTGCAAAGATAGTTGTATTAATGGGACAGAAGTACTTGGTGCCACCGAAGAGCAGTTTCCTTTTATCTGATATTTCATGTTTACAACCCCTGCTGAACTGTAAGTATCTTTAGTCTTCTTTAGAATAGGGATAGACTATTCCCTATCTGAAGAATCTATCCCTTCTTTCCTGCCTTAGAAGGCTGGTTAATGTCAAAATATCTAAGGACTCAGTGAACTGTTTTCTAACATAGAGCATCATGCTGATAATGCTACTGCAAGCTTTCAAAGTGGCATTTGTAACTTTGTGCAGACAGGTGAAGGTTTTCAAAGGAATCCTCAGTGGAGTTAGGAATGCATGTCATGGGGAGGCTCCAAGAGGCTCCAATAAAAATCTCAGCCATTGCATTTTTACATGAAACAGAATGCAGCAGTTGTTAAGCATATTCTGAGCCACAGTGGATCTAGAAGTCAAGTAAATGCATTGAATTGGAAATAAACTATAATATATAATGGTTTGGGTTGGAGGAGACACTAGAGACCATCCATTTCCAACCCCCTACTATGAGCAGGATTGCCACCCAGCAGCTCAGCTGGGCCCAGGGCTCCATGTAACCTGGCTTCCAGGGATGGGGCACCCACAGCTTCTCTGTCAGCCTGTTCAGTGCCTCACCACCCTCTGGGTAAAGAGTTTCTTCCTAATATGTAATCTAAATCACCCCTGTTTAGTTTAAAGCCATTTTTTCTGTGTCTTACCACTACACTCTCTAATCTTCATCTAATCTTCATCTAATCTCCATCTTCAGCTTTCTTTTAGGCCACCTTTAGGTACTGGTAGGCTGCAAAGCCTTCTCTCCTCCATGCTAAATAACCCCAGCTCCCTCGGCCTTTCTTCATAGGAGAGGCGATCCGGCTGCTAAATGAGAAGTATTTCTTGCTGGCTAGGGTCAGTCCATTGTGAGGACAACGCCTCCAATGTTAATAAAGGAATAAGATGTAAAGGACATTAAATGTTAAATTGTTGTTCTCACTAGCTATTTAAACAATTAGTATCAGGCTCAATAAAGGAAGGAGTATGTTGCCTGGGAAGAATAACATTAGAGAGTCCTTCTTTTTCATGGATGTGTTCTGTATCTTCTCCCATTAACGTAAACCCAACTTCTGCCTCAGTTCCCTTCCTATTGCCCACTAATTTCCATTTCTTACTCTGGGTCTGGCTCTGTCTGTTAACATGTAGTAGTGTAAAACAGTTTTCCAAGACTGGTTCATAGCTCTGCATGTGCAAATTGGCCAGCTGAAGGATCACACAAGGACGGAAAACTTCAAGGATTCAAGGGTACAGCCGTTCTCTCAGCTGAGTGCCTTATTACATAGCTTCTTTCAGGAAGCTTGGAGAAATTTTAATGTCTTGGAGACTGGCACTGTATGAGGTTTTTGTTTTAAACTCCCCAAGAGGTTTGACATTTCTTGGAGGTATTGAATCCAGCACAAGTCACAGAAACATCCTTTTCTTGGGTAATCAGCCTAGGAATCTGAGAAGTATATGATTATCTCAAGTGTTTAAACTTTTGTTTCATTATTTGGGGAAAAAAAGAAAAAAGGAACACTTGCAGTTTTGCTGCCTCGTTAGCTTTTTAAATATTGTCTGTATTTAGGTAGCTAAACCCTTATCAATTTTAACTAGTACTTTTAATTTTAACTTTAAACTTTTAAATTAATGAATTTACTGGTTTCTTTACTAAATTAGTTTTGTGTAATTTTTTTCCCAGACAAGAAAAAGTATGATGTAATTGTGGTCGATCCGCCATGGGAGAACAAATCTGTTAAAAGGAGTAACAGGTAAACTTTATTATGAAATTACCTTGTCGTCTCTGTTTACAATGGGTAATTTACATTTTAATTTACTGTTGCAATTCAAGACTGATGTAACCATAGTTGTAGCCTAAGCTAGCAAATACTTTGATGCATGCCAAAGTCTGAAAGTTCAACTCTAAAATTGTCTCAGGAATTTCAGTGAAATGACTTGGAAACTTTTAATACAAAATATTTGCAAGGCTATATCTTAAATTAAATTTGGAGAAGAGAAGGCTCTGGGGAGACCTCACTGTGGCCTTCCAAAGGGGTATAAACAGGAGGGAGAACGAATGTTTACAAGGATGGATAGTGATAGGACAAAGGGGGATGGTTTTGAATTGAGACAAAGGAGATTTAAGTTAGATACTGGGAGGAATTTTTTCACACAGATGGTGGTGATGCACTGGAACAGGTTGCCCAAGGAGGTTGTGGATGCCCCATCTCTGGAGGCATTCAAGGCCAGGCTGGATGTGGCTCTGGGCAGCCTGGTCTGGTTGGTGACCCTGCACATAGTAGGGGTTTGAAACTGGATGATCTTTGTGGTCCTTTTCAACCCAGGTCATTCTATGATTCTATGAAATTACCTCATTAATGAAAGAATGCTATTTTTCTGTACTTCTGAGGAAGGCTTGAAGCTAACTGTTTGGTATGGCCCAGATCAGACAGATGCTCATTTGAAATTAATAGTTATTATTAATACTACATAAAGATAGACAAAAAATTTCTAAGGCTGAGGTCCAATTAAGAAGTTTTAGGGTTTTTGGTTTTTTTTTTTGAGCTTTATTCTGATGAATAGAATAAAGTGATAATGCAGCAGTAAAATCCTCAAGTGCAGTAGGAACTTTGTGAGTACTGTACTTTATGAAGTCATTAACTTAGAGTTTTATGGGCCTCTTTCTCCTCTGAGTAACATTAAGTTTCTGCCAGTGGAGCTCCCTTGATTACCACAGAATTGCATCCATGTGAAAGGAGGCTGAAAAGAAAATAGAGCCTTGTAACTTTCTAGAATAATATCTACTGTAACTTCTTAAGCTTCTTAGGAAGATCTAATTTGTAGATAGAGATTGGTTAGTATATATATTACTTTAAAAGCCCTACAGAAACCTCTAGGGAGTCAGTTAAACTCATTCAAATACATTGGTTTTTTTTTACCAATATAAGTTTCTCCTAGGAAAATTTTAGACATGAAATTCACAGACATGAATTAGCCAACTATACCCTCTCTCCCACGCAAAATAAAACCAGAAGGCAGCTTCAACGCTGTCGTTAGTTGCTGAGTTCATTATCTTGTGGATGGCTAAAGAAGATACATAGTTAAAGGTTCTGCTCAGTAAAACTTAAGTAAACAGAGTAATGATTTCATATCAGAATCCAGTGGATCTGTCCACTGGGTGTCACTCTGGGCCTATTTTTTTATGACTTTCTATGCTGACAGAAGGTATTTCTTTAAACGTTTTGGCTGTGTAATTTCCTTGTTTTTGTTGCTTTGCAATTTTATTATGTGGTGTATGCTAACTTGCTTTCTCACTGTATTGGTATACAGATACAGCTACTTGTCTTCGTGGCAAATCAAGCAGATTCCTGTATCAGCACTAGCTGCTCCAGATTGTCTTGTTGTCACATGGGTGACTAACAGACAGAAGCACTTACGTTTTGTTAAGGATGAACTTTATCCACATTGGTCTGTGAAAACACTTGCTGAGTGGCACTGGGTAAAAGTAAGTTCTTTGTATTATTGCTTTCTTGGCAACTGAGGGGTCTTTCAATATGGCACTTCATAGTTCTATAAATTGTCTATCTATTTTGATGTGCTTTTGTATTTGAAAGGTATGGTGTTGTCAATATCTTCCTTTTTATCAGATGGTGTCTTGCTGGGAAAATTGGATTTGAAAATCTTCCACTGTGTATTTCTAACTCCTCTGTGTCAGATTACTAGATACGGAGAATTTGTATTGCCTTTGGATTCTTTCCACAAAAAGCCCTATGAAGTTCTTATACTGGGGAGAGTTCAAGGAAACATAAAGGAAGCCCTAAGGTATGCCAGGCTATGGTAATTTTTATTTGAGGCTGCTAGGATTCTACTTACTGGTGTGTCATCTGTCCATAATACAATATAGTGTTCCCAGATCTCCTTTTAGCATCATCTTTATCTGATTTTGAACCTAAAAATGGCCTCACTTGCTTTAGGGAGTGCTTTAGTAAGATGAAAGGGTGGAATCTTTTTGTCTGTTCCTTATGTCTATCTGTGTTGGAGAACTGGCTCAAGTAAGAGGTGTGGGCTTCCTTTGCTGGTAGGTTCTGTTTGATCCCAAGTCTTTAGAATAAGCTGAAGCCATTTTTGGCTGCTGATGGAAACAACAACTATGTTGTTTGTTCTTGATGGCTTTGTGTGGCCATTGTTAATTGTGTTTTGTCTCAATTCTTAATTGTTTTGGAACCCCTCTTTTACATATCATCAGGGAGCAACATTCAGTTTCCCTTAGGCTTTTGTGAAGTTTGAATGTGAATAAACACTCTTACCTCCTATCTCAAGTATCAGAGAATTGTGTATGTATCATTCTCATACTTTGTTTCTTGTTCTGGTTTGTACAACAGGAAATCTGAAGATGTTCTTCCAGTTCCAGAACATAAGTTAATTGTCAGCATACCCTGCAGTCTACATTCACATAAGCCCCCCCTCACTGGTATGTTTTTGTTGATTTGTTGTGTTTCTGTGGGGTGTTTGGTTTGGGCATCTGAGATGATGTTAAGCATCTGAGCCAAAATGAGATATCTTTATAAATGATGCATCTTAATTTCTCATATGCTGAGCAATTGTGCCCACCAGGACCTGTGATTCCTCAACATTTCTAAAAATGCTTTTAGGCACCTAAGGTCTGAAAAAGAAAATCACTGTAAAAAGTAGAACTTTGTGGATAATTGTGTGAATATTCTGAGTAAAAATGAAGTAATTGAACTACATTTTTCTACACTTGCTTTTGAAATCCTGCAGGAACAAATTATAAATGATGTATTTATTAAGTTATCCCAAAGGATGTAAAGCTCCTGTGGTGGTGGCTGTGAACTTCTGGAACATACAAGATGAGATATCTTCTACTTACCTAATAAAAACAGAAAGAGAAAATGTTTCTATTTCTGCATTAGTTGCTTATACACCTGCAGTGCAGTTCTGCCTTTAAATCTATAATGTGAATCATTTAAAAACTGTTAACAGTAGGCAACAAAGAAGGCATACCCTGTTTATTTCCAGGGGGCTGCATTAATTTGCTGAAATTGATGCAGTAGCTCCCAGCTAGCCAGTTAGCATTTGGATGAATCATTTAAACTTTTCAAGATTTAGTTCAAAAGATCAGAAGACTTCTGCATCATGCAGATTTTGCACATTATTCCAGAGAAAAACTTCCTTTTGTCAATAGATTCTTTCATTATTACAGCACTCGAGTGCCTTACTATTATATGGCAAGAAAATTACTTACTTCCTCTTGCAAAAATAGTTTCATCCTTCCCGAGGGGAAAACTCACAATGTACCTATAGATATTACTGGTAAACGTGGTTCAGTGTAATCACATCAGAAAACTCAGGCAGAAGAAATGCATGCTGCATTGGAAAGGCATCACTGGCCTGTTCCCTCCATTGTGCTGATGTGCTTTCTTTTCTTGGTTCCCAAGGAACAGAATTACTTCAGTTAGGATGCTCATCTGAATGATGGTTGCACTTCCAGGAAGGCTTTGAAATTTATGTTTGGGGATTGTATTTGTTATTAAATCAAAACATACTTTTTATATATATATATATATATATATATATATATTTGGGTTAGCTTTACTTGAAAAGAGCAATTCTAGGAAGCATCTGTTTGCAATTCTGAAGCTACATCCTTAACAATTATGACTACAGCAGGAAGTATGTGTGTTGATTTAAGCTAATGGGTGGCAGAGCAGTGATTTGTGAGGCAGCCACCTAGGGAAAACCTTTTCAGAAAACCAATACTTCAGCAACACACTCAGACATGATCAGAAAATGTCTGATATATCCAGGGCTGAAAAGCAGCAGTTTGTGTACACACTGTAGAGAATTCTAGCATCAGATGGTCCTCAGAGCTCTTCTTTTCTGTGGTGCAGAATCTAGAAACTGTATTAAGTCTTTATAATTGATGATCCTGAATGGGTTTTGAAAGAAATTGTCTACCAATTTTTATGTATTTCTTGAATCTTTACATGATTGATTTTGATACCATTGTGCTGTATTCATGTTTCTATTTGAGGAATAAATTTGCTATCAACCAAAATCAGTGGTTTTTACAGTTCCTATAAAACTACGTGTGTATGTACAGTATTGGCAGCTTCATTGAGAACAGGCTTATGGAATGAAAAGGTAGACTAGTGGCTGTTGATTTGTCTTCAATATTCTTAAAGGGTATTGCTTTCATGATCAGGCAGTATTCTCAAGTGGCCAGTAGAGAGCAGTTGAGCTACATGCTAAAATAGTTTAGAAGCAATTTAAGCAGAAGCAGAGATTTGGCAATGGGGGAGAAGGACACTTGATGAGTCACACACGTTCTTTATGCTTTGTTTAAGAAGTAACAAAGCCAAAAATATTATTATTTACTGATGCTGTCTGGCACTTTATTTCTAGTTACTACTGTAAAGGCTGTACGTTCCTACATATGTAGCCACTTAATGACTTATTGTAACAGTTTCTCTCTCTGGGGGAAGAGGAAGATGTAAATTAAAGTAAGCCATCAAAAAAGAGATGTTTGGGTTCCTGCAGTGCATTTAACTATGAAATTGTGACTGTAGGGGTTTTGGGTGATGCATGTGCTGTGTTCAGTTCTTAGAGCTTTCATATATAATTGTAAGTGTACTTAAACAGCTTTATGCAAATGTGTTAAAATGAAATTTTATCACTCTTGGTTTTGATTCAAATAACAGCGGGTTTTCTTTCTAATTCTATTCGCTACTGCTCTTTAAGACTTAAATGATACTTTGCATAGAGATGATATAAAAGAAGGTTGGACTTTTTTTCCTTTTTCTGTTTTAGAGATTCTTCATGTTATAGGCATTTCTCCTCTAGTATGTAGCATGTACATTTATTGTTAAAAAACTTAATTGCCAAATAGGAGTATGCCTAAAAACATTAGCATTAATTATTGGCTGTGTTCTAGCTGCTTTGCAGATCTTCAGCAGAAGCACGCAGAGGAAAATCTTGGAAACTTACTTCTTCTGTAGCAACTCTATGACTTGTGAGGCTATTAGGAAAGTGGAAATAGAAACAGACAGCATTTACTTCTACCCTCTTCTGGTAGACTAATCAATGGGTACATCAAAATCTAGCTTAAACAGACAGTTTAGGAAAGATACAGAGATATTAAGCCATCTTTGCCTTGAGTTTCTCATCCTTTTTTCTGGTCTTTTTCTAGACAAATCAGGCAATAAGGGCCTCTGCTTTGCAAAATTTTGAAGGCTTACGATGAAATGAGTTCAATTATGTGTGGGCTGTGCTGTGTATGGCTCACAAATCAGACAGTAAAAAGCCAGTAAAATCATTTTCACCTTATTTATCCAATTTGCTGTGCAGAATTTATTGTTTAGGTAATGGAAGTTGAAAAGAGAAGGGGAAGCTGTTGCTTGTTTCAAAAATGGTTCCTTCTTTTTCTCATGTAAATGATTTTACAGCATGCATCTTGGATAATGTGTGCCATCAAGAATAAAACCAGTGTTATACCTACAAGCTGGCTTTGTGCTAGCTTTCTGGGCATTAGATGGCCACGTATAGATACCTGAGTTGCACCTGCAGTGTTTGACATCTGCAGATAATGAAGAATAATCTATTTATTGTCTATTTAAGCTGCTTTTTGTCAGCTATAAGCACAGAGAAGTAATTGTTAAAAATTAAAAAATATCTGTCCCTACTGTAGAAAAATGAACATTTAGTTTTTCTGCTGATGTAGATCCTCTAATCTGTTTTCAGGAAGAACTTGAGTTTGCTGAAGGGATGGAAGTTAGATCCATATGTGCTGAGTTAGTCTTTTGGTGGTATAAAGGCCGTAAAAGACTAACAAAGAGGTTATAATTCATACCAGAAGATGTGAAAACTTGGTGCTCAAGGGAACCAGTGTAATAAGATCTCATGCCAGCAAAATACAGCCATATTATTGCCCTCTTGATATGCTAATTTCCCTTGCAGTGAAGACTACTGCTTGATGTGATTATGTAAATGCCACATCCAAGCAATGAAGAATCATACTATAATGTAATCTTGTATTATATGTAATCTGTCTCTGTAATTTGTTTTTTCAAAAACACTTTGTACAGAAAGACCTTCTCTCGGGGAATGTGAGTGAGGAAGATTCTTGGGACTTCCAGTTGAAATTCTGTGACCAAGTTGTTCAAAAGATTGGCACAGTCTTCTGGATCCTTTGGAACTGGCCATTTTTTGGCTACCTCTATTTTTTTTTTTTTTGCTTCTGGCAAACCAGTCTGCTGTGAGTCTTAGCTGAATCAACTAAGTATGCTTTTCAAATTTTTCTCTTAGGCATGGAAGTTTTTGGTGTTTAGTGGTACCTGCTTCTGACTTACTGGCCTAAGTGCTGTGATGACGTTTGTAATCTGTGCCTTTTAAGAACAAATTTCAAAACTTGTTATGTGCTATTAGTGAAGTTTTGTCACCTAGATCATTCTTTCCTCTGCTTAGCATAAAGCAGTTCTATTTTATTTTTATCTGAAGAAGAAAAAATAATCATATAATGCCTGGACTCTGCAGTAAGCTCTGCGGGATCTTACGCGCGTTTGGGTCAAAATAATAATATCCTACAGCTGTTAGATTTGCTCCCAGAGAGTTTATCAAAAGCTTTGGATTTGCATTCCACAGTCTCTCCCTTCTCTTCCATGGAAAAAGTACATCCTTCTGCACCATGGGCCTTCTTAGATAATGGGAAGAATAGATTTTTGGAAGACCTTTGTTAAAATGTTGGCAGCAGGTTGTGCGTAAGAAATCCTTAATGAAATAGAGCATGGAAAAATAATAATATGTTTTACCACATAATTAAAAGAAAATTTTGCAAAATGATACAAAAGCAGCTTCTCTGAAGTGGTGTGACACTAAACAACAGTATTCAGAGCAAGAAGTTTTCTATCAGAATGTACATGTTTTCAGACTCTTCTCCGCAGAAGTTAATTTGTATAAGGATTTTAGCTTCCCTGTAAAAGGAATAGGCTTTTAGATCAGGATTCCTGCTGATAGCTGTCTTTTTATAGATTGAAAGTTACTTTGATGATAATCTATATGAAATACTCTTTTCACATTTGTTAAAGATTGGAAGAACGAAAACAAATTTATAGGCTGTACCAAAATATAAGAATGTTGGAAAATGCCCATTACAAAATATTTAAGGAAGTTTTGAGTGGATTGAAGCTTTGGATTGTATAGGTAGAGAATGCATTTGGGATTCATGAACGCTGATTAGAATGTGAGGTGGATATTTATCTTTCTGCAGCAGGACCAATCCATGACAAGAGCATCCGAGGATTCACACAGGGAGTCTGTGACTGGCAGACTTGATACAAAAAGTCAGAACTTGGTTTGAACCCAAAAAAGCATTCTCTCTCATGCTTTGATGTATGCTACTTGGATACATTTCTGCTTTCTGATATGAGTCATGTCTGAACAGATCAAATCAAACAATACAGAGTTTATGAACTGTACTTTTAAGCTACGGAAATTCAGAAACTTCAAGAAGGAACAGGAGTGAGCGAGATATACTTTGGATAAAGAAATAGTTTATTAGCTTTTGTTCTTTCAGCCTCAGTCATAAAAATGCAAACTTAAGATGTAATTTTATTATAAATCTTTTTTTCAGTCTTTTTGCCTCCTTTGTGTCTTTTGCATTCCTTTAGCCTTTGCTTTTCCTTTGGACATTTTTGCATGTACTATTTTGTGGCTATTTCCTGAAACCTAGTTAAGAATTTCTTTGACCCATCCACAAACTAAATGGCTCTGTATAACAAGTGACACATTTAGTAATCAAGTGTTTGCAATAGAATTTCTCAAGTGAAATGCTATAACCAATGTCTTTTTCTGCCACTTGGAGAATAATCATAATCATTGACACAGTTGATGTTAGGGACAGGCATCTGTTTAGATACAGGCAGCAAATAAACACAATGAATTTGAGATTTATATTGCTGAATGAAAGAAGGCAGTTATATACAGGTTTCTTTTGTTGATAAATTGCTATTTGGGGAGAAAAAGATGTCCCTCCATTTTTATAGCCCTTCTAATGTCTGCTTATTTAAACTGGTGTTTCTTTTACAACAATTTTCATCAAAAATTGGTTTTATCTCCTTTAAGATGCAGAGCAAAAGAGCATGATCTTAATCAAGGAAGGTGTCTGTCTGTTTATTTATAGAAATGTTGCCCTCGTGATGCAGGAGCCAATTGAGCCTGTAGGAAGTGTTTTGTGGATATTTCCAAAAAATTTAGAACTTTCCCATGTAGATAATGGAATAAATCCTCATTCTCTTTCTCTAAATGAAAACCAATAAATCAAGGCCGTTAAAGGCCTTGACAGTATTGTTTAGGATCTCAAGGGCACTCATTTTAAATGACTTTCTCGCTACAAATGGTCCAGTTGTTTGATTAAACCCTTAGAATTAATTTAGTCTCTTTTATTTTTTCAATGAAACATTCCATCTCTCATTTGCTGTCAGCACTGGGGAGATTTTATTTATTTTTGTGTTTATTATTACTGTTGTTGTTTGTACCTTTGTCATTGTTATCCTCATCTTTTTTTTTGTTTTGTTTTTCTTATCTTGCACAGCGGTTCTGGCAGAGTTTATCAAGCCAGATGTGGAGTGCTTGGAGCTGTTTGCTCGCAACCTGCAGCCTGGCTGGACCAGCTGGGGAAATGAGGTTCTGAAGTTTCAGCACATTGATTATTTCACTCTTCTGCGGAATGAAAACTAACTTTGTTCTTGTGGCTTAATTCTGAAATTCATCCTTCTTAGCAAGCTCTGGAGCTTGCTTTTCTTCTGGTTGGTGCACTCAGAAATGAAACCAACTGCACTTCAGTTGCAATTCTTGCAGTGACAATATCTGTTTGATAGCATCTGTATCTATACAAGCTGCTCCTCTTCTTTGAAGATCTTGGAATAGTTAAAGACTTGTGTTAGCGGGCAAGTACATCCCTATTTCTTTTTTTTTTCCTTTTTTTTTTATAAGAAAAAACTTCAGGAAAAGAAAGATATTCTCATTAAGGCTATCATAAATGTAAGCATCATAAGTACTCCATAACACTTGTAATGAGTTATTTTTACAGTGATCATGTATTATTTTTAAGGACAGGCAAGCAAACTAATAGGTTCACATTACAAATATTTCCTGAAAGACGATTGGTCTTTGCAAAACAGTGGATTTGAAACTGAAATAATTATGAAGACAGTGTTTTCTCCTGCATATTTGCATCTGCCTGTCTACCTTGTAAGTCTGTGAGTTGTAAATGGGCACATTCTTCTAAAACATTCAACAATTACATCTTTCTGTGGATAGTGTTAATTCTCTGAATACGCTGTAAATGATAAAGTCTCAACCATCTCACAATTTCTAGATACTAAGCTGTTAGATTTAACTAAACTAACTGAAATGACTTAACTGAAATTTTAACAAAATTTAAGTATGTTATAAATTTTCTTTTCTTACATTCTTGAAAGAGTAAAAAGTGCATTACATTTTTCAGCTTAACTAAAGATCATATTTCCTTAGTAATAGTATATTTTTGTGTCCTTTGCTGCACATCAACTTGCTTTGAAAAGGAAAAATTAAAAAATAGAGCTTCATTAAGTCTCTTTCCTCATTTGTGGCTGTACAGGCAGAGCAGCTGGACGATCTGCTTTTCCTGACAGCAAACTCCTTTGTTCTGTTTATAATGGGGAGCAAAATGCACTACACCCTTCTTTTCGTATTTTTACGTTCATTACACTTTTTGTAATCTTTGCTGTTACGGTTTTAAATTTAAACTTCAAATGTCAATTGATTTGTTTTTTTTAATTTTATAATAAAAATTAAAATAAAAACTTGTCAGTGTCTTATTAGCAGGCCCAATTTCTGTATTACCACTGTTTTTTGTTTTTTTTTTAAACTATTGCATCAATAGAATTGACAAAAAAAGAAACACACATATATATATTTGTTTGTGTATATATATATGTGTGTGTGTGTGTGTGTGTTTGTGTGTGTGTGTAACTAACTTAAACATATATTCACCTCTTCTCCCAGGCAAGGAGCAGGACATGGGGAAATGGCCGCAAGTTGTATCAGAGGAGGTTTAGATTAGACATAAGGAAGAACTTCTTCTCTCAGAGAGTGGTCAGGCACTGGAATGGCTGCCCAGGGAGGTGGTGGAGTCGCCGTCCCTGGCAGTGATCAAGTGGCATCTGGACAACGTGCTGCGTGATGTGGTTTAGTGCTTGTGATGGCAATGGTGATGAGGAGACGGTTGGACTGGATGATCTTATAGGTCATTTTCAACCTTGTGATTCTATGATTCTATGATTCTGTGTTTACTTATGTTTAAGTAAACAGTGTGTCAGTGAAGGTAGATGCCTGGAAGAGCACTCCTTGCTGCATGATTTTCGATTTTAAACTGTCAGTATATAAGCACCTTACTTTAAAACTATAGGGGATAGGAAGGTTCCTTACTTGATTTCCATTTTATAAGACATTACCTGGGAACTCAGAAACTCCAGGTGGGAAGAATTCCCCTTCCTTAACGTAAGGTTTGTCTCATCAAGAATCAAATGAATGCATGACCCTTAAATACAGAACAAATCTTGTTTGTATGTTTTGTTTTTCCATTGTACTCTGTAAAGCCACACAAGAAATTGCAGTAGTGTCTGTTCTACAACCACTACTATGAATGGCTCCAGACTACCTTTTAATTGCAAATAAAAGACACTGGCTGAACAGTCTTGGAGATGAGTAAGCTACCTTTCTTCCTCTGTGAGCCAAGCAGCAGAACTCTTCTAAAGGAATGACGTTCTTCAAGCCTGTTAAGAATGGATGACCTATTTAATCTGTCTTTCTTGAGGTATCCCTTTACAAGTTGCAGACTTCTGGCCCTTTTGCTATCTTCTTTGCAATCTTCTAAGAGTTTAGTACATCTTGTTGGTTTGTTGCCAGCTCAGAAATCTCATGATAGTATTAGCAGCTATTAATTTTGAGGTCATCTTTTAAGCATAATTATTGATCTGTTGTGCTTAATTCATAACTGAAATAGTCTTTGTTTCTAGATGTTTTAAAAAAAACGTAGCTGTCCTCAGTCAAACATCAGATCTTTCAGTGTCGGTGGTATGGTTCCTCTGAGGCACAATACAAAGCACACTGATGAATCAGTGAAGAGTGGTCTGCTAATATAAAAGGACAATTTAAGACCAAATCAAATTTCTTTTATAAAAGAATGATGTTATCCATATTAATGGCTTTATATTACTTTCATAGTTGAAATCTGTCCTCTCTTGTCTCAAGCGCTGTATAAAAAAGGAAACCTGCTTCTGTAAAGGGGATACAGACTTGTTAAAAATGATGAAAGAGCAAGAGAGAAGGACAAAGGAATACAAGGTAGTGATGAGGTGCTGAAGTGAATTTGCTAAGTTGCGGCCCGGGTATTATGCACATCTTCAATACTTCTATGAAATCACAGGTTTCCTACCTTCTAAAAATAGAATAAAATATATATAAAGCCTATTCTACCCTGGTACATTAAATTTCACACATTCCAAGGAAAAATAGGTGAAGTGTTACGTGTTTGACTTATGACATAGAATAGAAAAAAAAAATCTTTCTGTCTAAGTTCTCTCCGCTATGACAGTTTGGTGAAATGAGAACTGTAACTGCTCAAGAGTATACATGGAAGTACTTTATTTGGTATATCTGTTGTTATTTTAGCAGGGCAATAATAGAAAAGGTTCTTTGGCAAGGTGTTCTACTCAAGGCCTTTTACACTTATATCTTATTGCAAAAAGCTCAGTTCATAAAAGGATAGTAAGTAATGTTGATGTTGAATACATCAGTTGTCATAATCAAACTTTCTTTTATGAAGCTTCAGGTTTGGAGTACAATTTTGAAATATCAAATTAGCATATGACCTTTACTTGTATTTTTAAACTTTTCTGAAGTAAAAAGAATTATACCAGTAAGATATGTTTTTGGAATAGCGGTTGCTACGTGTGAAGTCCTCTAGAAACAGGAGTTGCTTTTGCAAAATCAAGCTTTATTAAAAAGGAAGTGAATTGTTCTTTGTCATGTTCTGCTCAGGTAGGTGTCAGTAGCAGTAAAGAGTAGTCTTTGAAAAGTGATTTCTAAGCCATGGACAATTATGAAATAACAGGAGGGAAATGCTACTAGGCCTTGAGAATTGTGTTCGTTAATCTCTGCATACTATTCAAGATTTACCTACTGCTTCTTTTGGGTTGAACATAACATTAGGTGAAGGAAAGGTTGCTAAGTGAACAGCCAAGGGATCAGGTTTGTCTGAGTTGCTGAAAGGATTCTTGTGATGTACCTGATGGTGGGTAATTTCTGAATGGTCTGACCATGTGCGGGAGCTTGTTGGATTTAAACACTTAGTAGTAACTTAGTTTTGTTACCTCACTGGCATCATTCAGCTGTCCTTGTGCAGCCGTTTAGAAGGCTTGGCCATAAAGTAGTGCACTTTGGGAAAACCCATACATCTTTTTTATCATATATTTCTCTGCATGCACAGACCCAAGGAAGTTTTCTAAAGTTTATTTACTGAAATACAGAATTTCAAAAGGTGGATTGTCTGTGGCCCTCAAAAGCTTACCTCCAGAATTCCTGGTGTTGTAACATATTTGACCCTGCACGTGGGACAGTTTGTGGCACTGTAGTTAAAAGTGTGTGTGCTTTTGCAGGCTCAGTGCCTTACAGTGTGAATTCCTTTGAGTGCAGGCTTTTAAGCTGTAATCTACACACTTCCTCTCCTTCCTCCCTTCCTTCCTCCCTTCCTTCCTCCCTTCCTCTATTTATCTATGTATCTATTTATTTATTTTTCCAGCAGCAGTGTGAGCTGAAGCTGCTTTTATATCCAGATCTCACAAATAAAGAAGCCTTTTCTTTCCAGCAGGTAATTTTTCAGCCACATCAGTTTTTTTGAGTTGATTTTATACCTGTCCTCACAAACAGTCCTATGTACCAGAGGGCAGTATGTGAGTGAAAGAAGTTTGAGATGAAGGGAAAAATGAGGGGCTGCTTAGTAAATGTGAGCAACAGTGTCACTGCATGTTGAATGGCAGCCAGCATTGGGTACCTAGGCATCTTGGAATACCTAGAGCATCTGAAGTACCATGTGGCTACACACTGGTATTTGCGGTTGGAAATGCAATTTTGGCAATAGCAGAACTGGCTGCTGTCATAAGGACATGAAAATGTGCAAGACAGGTGAGAGAGTGTTGTTAATTCCCTGTTAATCTTTATGTTGCCTAACTTGTAGAGAGGACAGAAAAGGATCAGTAGGAAGTAAGATAAATTGAACAATAGTAATATAGCAGATTGTTTTCCACTATGTACTTGATAGTGGAAGAACAGAATGAGGCCTTATTTGATGATGCTAAAGAAAATGATAGGCCTACCTCTGACTGTAGGTGACTTATTTCAGCTCATCCAAGAGCCTAGTTTAAGACATTAACAAAACGCTGTGAAATCAAATATTTTAGTGAGAATTTTTGTTCCCTCTGATGTTAAGTGTCATAGAATTATAGCTTGGGTTGGAAGGGACTTTGAAGATAATCTAGTTTCAACCCCATGCCTCAGGCATGGTAGCTAGCCACTAAGTCTGGCACCAGAGCAGGCTGCCCGGGGCCTTATACAACCTGGCCTTGAACACCTCCAGGATGGGGCATAGAATGTAGTCCTATGTCTTCTTTTTTTCTACAGCCAGTCAGTAATTTTTTGTTAAAATAAAATACTTATCGCAATCATTGCTTATCTCCAGCTGGAATCTTGGACACCCTTATTCAGTTTTCCTTTTTGTTTATAAAAACTGAACATCTCCTAGGGGAATAGGGAGGTCAAGCATTCCGATTATGACTTTAACGGTGCCCCTCTATCCATCTTATATTGACCATTGTGGAGCTGACAGTCCCTTACACACCCAGGCCTGGTGTGATGTTTTTCACCCTGGCCTGTTATAGAACTGCTCCTTTTCCCATTCTCTTTCCCTCTTGAAAGAGCATTGACACTAATTAGTGTGTAAGAAAATGAGGGAATGTAAGGAGAAAACAGCTGGTTAAGTGGAAACTGACACCCAAAACACAGTGAAATAATGGAGAGCTAATTGCACAATTTTATATTCAGTTCTATAGCTAATGTCGCTGCACTGCTTGTGTCTCTGTAAGGCGCTGCTGTTGACCATATCATAAAGAAATCTGAGTCTTTGTAAGATGTGCAGATCCAACTTTCAGCCCTTTCAGAGATGGTAGCATTTTCAACACAAAAGTCTGAGCATAGTTCCTATGGCTAGCAGCATTTGCACAATAGATGTTACATACTGCTGGTTAAAGGTCAGTTGCAGAATGTACAAAATCTGAACTTGATTCCCAATGTTTTTTCCTGTAATACTTTTTTTCTTAATCAAAAAAGATTATTTTGCTCAAAGAGGGATCCACATAAACATTTGTGTTTTTCATGCAAATTGCAAGATAAGATTTGCAAAGAGAAAGGTGGCATAGTTTTCTCATATACCCGCAGGAGAGGCACAGTATTATACGTATGCTAGAAATTGGAAGACTTGCTAATAATGTGATATGCTAAAAATAAGCAATATAGGTCTTGAGTTTTACAGTGCCATTAACTAAGTCTGTAGCTAAATTTTAGTGTTTTACTCAACAGTATAGTCGTGTAACAGTTACATGTTAATTCAGGAAGCAGCTCATTGGAAATATTTTTATGACCCCATTTCTCTCCTCAAACTGTTCAATGTGTCATTTTATCTATGTGGCCTTTGTTTACATCATTCCTTTGTGCACTTCAGAAGTT